TGAAACTCAAGTTCTTGTGGATAAATAAACATTTATTCTATAAGTTAGAAACAATTTAACAGTTTAAAATATGATCGTGTAGAGATAAAAAAGTACGCCATAAACTTTTGAAACTTAACGATATTTAGCGAATACTCTAGAAATCCCGATAGACATCGAGGCGCATTCTTTTCGAGAACATTCGAGTCGTTTGGAGAAAGATGGGCATTTGCTATATAAGCAAATCGAATTGTGCTTCAGGGAGTTCCAACATCGATGCACTCGTGTTGTTATTAATTGCGAGTGATAAATAATAAGTACTGTTATAAATTTATTGTTAGTTGTAAATAAATAAATCACGTAATTAAATGTCATTTTTAAAAACGTCAAAGATTTCATCTATGGCTATAAGAACAGGTAACAAGATCATCAACCATCATATCCAGTAGCTGATGTATTATAATTGCTTCCAGTTCACAGTTAGTGGTATGGCTTAAAAAAAGAGTTTCCCTAATTCAGTGGCATTAATCGTGATCGCCTCAAGACAGGGTCAATTTTGAATGAAAATGCCAATGTTTGAAAAACATCACTTAAATGTTCACTGCGTATGGTACCATTACAGTTTAACTTTCTATTTTCCGATACAAGCCGCTCTTGATGACATTTCATGCAGATTTAGTAACATTTTTAATCTTATCAGTAATAAACATTTTACTAGCTGCTCGAACTAAATGTTAAAATATTTTACAGTATAATTTACAGTGGTTCAACAAAATAGAGTGGAAAAATTGACATACTAGTTGTTTGAGTCCATTTAGTTTTACTCGATTCTTTAATACCGGTGGTGATCCAGCATTTTTTGAAACCTGCTACTACTACTAAAATGATTCAATAAAATCTGTAAATTGAAAAAAACTTAGATCGTGTGCTCTTCTTCCAAATAAAAGTAATGTCATTTGAAAAAAATTGTTTACTCAACTGAAATCAGTAGATTAAAAGAAAATTTTCGAAACCTGTCCAGCGTGTACTTCTGACCAACTATTCAATAGAGCGTGTAGATTGAAAACAGTCTTAGATTTCCATTCTTTATTAAGTTTGCAGACTTCCACTGTTCTTTTTCATGAGATTAGAGACCTTCTATAGTAGCAACAATAAGAATCTGAAAGTAGTACTGAATGTTTCACCATTTTTGCCACTGACACAACTAAACTTTCAAAAACATTTGTATTGTACCGTGTATCCAAATTATGGGCTATCGCGAACTTTTTTGTAAAACTTATGATAATCAAAGTTTTCATAGTCAACTTCGTTTTTGAGTTATGGTATGATTTTGAAAATTTGGACCCCATGTCTCGACTATGTTAAAAAACAGACTGAAGGAGCGTTACCATTACTCTGCAGTGACATCACACGGAACAGTGCAAAGTGCCGACTTCAGGCTATTGTAGCTCAAAAACCATAAAAGGTAGAGAAAATGGAGTTGTAGTCCTGAAAACGAACAAGCTTTCTAAAGAAGATTAAAAAAATTCATCGAAATCAGTTGAGTTTAACCGAGGCCTACGATACTTACAGGCCGGAGCGCTCGAAAAAGTCACGTGACGTTAGGAGTCATATGAAATACATTACGGCTTATGGAAAAACCGTGCGCGGCTCCACTATTTATTTTTTTACTCCGGATCCGTTCAACATAGAGCCACGAAATTTCAATGAGAGCTTGTCAATAGTACACACAATCAAATTATGGTGTTCGTTAATTTTTAATAACACTAAAAATAATTAATTTTTAGGTTTAAAGTATTGAAGATAAAACGATGTCAGTAAATCCGCGTTTTTCTATCTTTACATCATCATATTTCTTTTTCTAGGAACTATATCATTATAATCCTTTCGGTGTCTTAAACTAGAATGATATGCGCCTCCAATTATGCGTATATGATGCCTAATCTGATATTAGTATAGTTTTAACAGGCCCTACAAAATCGCGCATTTATTATCCGCGCAGAGAAAAATTCAACATGCGAGAAACTTTTTTGTTATTGCTATAATTGTATCACATATATCGAATGAATTGTGACCAAAGGACACAAAAATGTTCTTCAGAAGGAATTTTTAAGAAATAGTCTCTTGTTTCCTTTTTTTCAGCAGCTGAAGTAAATAGCGCGATTTCAGAATAAGTGAACGCGCAAAGGAATTATTATGTTTCAAATAATTGTTAGTAATCGATTTCCAAATTGTGTTTGTGAGATTCAAGAGGAGTATTTTGCATCAAAGATTTTGTTTCGTCGTGTAATTTAGCAGAAGATGAGGCGATGTTAAATATAAGTATTGAAATATTCTAAGATTTAGAAAACGACACAACAGTTACTTCTGAAAACGAAAAAAAAAACGGCACTGCCTATTCCTTACAAGCTGTACTTTTTACTAAAACTGCTGTAAGTTGGATAGAAAATGCTATTTTTTAAAACTTCCATATTCAAAAGGTTATTTTTATTTATTCATAGAATGAAGATGAAATCCTACGATACTTACCAGGCCTCTTAGGCGGACAAGGCAAATTTCCCATTTCACTTTAACACGAGAAGGTATAACTAAAATACTTTATGTACTGCAAAATTCATATTAACGAAGATATAAGATATACTCCATACTTTTGACTGATAATATCTTTAATTTTATAGTTTAATGTAAATTTGAATCTCACAAACACAATTTGAAAATGGATTACTAACAATTACGCCTTTGCGCGTTCACTTATTCTTGAAATCGCGCTATTTACTTCAGCTGCTGAAAAAAACGAAACAAGAGACCATTTCTTAAAAATTCCTTCTGAAGAACATTTTTGTGTCCTTTGGCCACAATTCATTCGATATTATGTGATACAATTATAGTAATAACAAAAAAGTTTCTCGCATGGTGAATTTTTCTCTGCGCGGATAAAAAATGCGCGATTTTGTAGGGCCTTTTAAAACTATACTAATATCAGATTAGGCATCATATACGCATAATTGGAGGCGCATATCATTCTAGTTTAAGACACCGAAAGGATTATAATGATATAGTTGCTAGAAAAAGAAATATGATGATGTAAAGATAGAAAAACGCGGATTTACTAACATCGTTTTATCTTCAATACTTTAAACCTAAAAATTAATTATTTTTAGTGTTATTAAAAATTAACGAACACCATAATTTGATTGTGTGTACTATTGACAAGCTCTCATTGAAATTTCGTGGCTCTATGTTGAACGGATCCGGAGTAAAAAAATAAATAGTGGAGCCGCGCACGGATTTTCCATAAGCCGTAATGTATTTCATGACTCCTAACGTCACGTGACTTTTTCGAGCGCTCCGGCCTGTAAGTATCGTAGGCCTCGGATAGATCTATTCACCTTTTGCCACACAAATTGTTTCTCTTTCCAATGGAATTTTTCACTGAAGCTGGAATGAGAGAGAGAAAGGACCCTACATTCACCGTTTACGCTACATTCAACTCCTGTCAACCTCTCCAAAAAATGGCAGAGGATATAAGTACAGTCTTCACCAGGTCATTTACCTATGACGCACAATTTGCCATCCACAGGGTTTCGAATTATTCTTACACGCGCTTTTAGCGGGTGGGACACTACCCTTTCTGGCATGCAAAAACTATGTTTTACGCCGGAAATCCGCACTTACGTGGGGCTAAAATATCCTTATGGCGGTGTATGGATGTACGTACATGAAAAGAAAACATAGATCACTTACGCTACAAATCGTTGCCAAAGTCATAAATCACCTACAACAATAAAATGCAAGAGAAAATACACATAAATAAAACATCTCGAATTGTATGATAAAAATCAGATAATCAAATTAACAGCAATTAAACAAGTTCATAAAAACAAAATACACAATACATCATAAATGCAGTGGAAAACATGATAAATCAATTCAGTACAAAAACACATCAAAATACCTGTACGAGTAGGCAACAGATACAGCGAAAGATCGAACTGTATTATGTACCTACTCCAAACTATATTAGGTACTTCCCTCACGGAATAGTTACGGATTAATCGAACAGAGCAACATCGCACTGATAATCAACTCCTCGTGAATACAGGAATAAATATTTAAAAAACAAATTAATGGTAAAATCACTTGTACAGTATAACATCAGATAACTGTACTCAAAACAGAGGCATAGAGTACGCCATGATTCAGATATCGTAGTTGATGCAAAATCAGAAAAATGTAAATAATATCAAATTGTGGCAAGAAATTCAATTATTAATAACTAGTACAAGAAAGAATAAAATGGTTACTACCTGTAAATACACCTTCAAAACACCACCACCAAAATAGTCAAGAATAAAAAAACCGGGAACGCGTGATGTCTTCCGTCGACTTCATCGCCATTTTTCTCATTCTCCCCTAGCTTCGTTACGAAAATCCTCTAGTATTCGGCATCTGCTCAAATCGGTCGATTGGTTATATACAGAGCATATCATATTTTTGTTTCAGATGTAAAGGTGTGTTGCCTAACCATAAAGGTGGGCGAAATAACTGTGCTGTACGCTTCCCCTTATTTATGCGGCTCGACGCGAATTGCTCCGCGGCTTAATCTGAATTAGCTCACGGTTGTCTCTCGGAAACCAAAAGTTGTGTAGAGCTGGTTTTAAGCTAAAAATCTTACAAATTAAGTATATGAGTGCTATCTTTCAAAATAAATGATACCTGTTATTGTCAAAAACGAGAAAAAGTGAAAAAAATCGAGGTTTTTGCCCACCACGCCGCTTCCACACATTTTCCTTTCAGCAGTAGTCTTAATAAAAAAATTCAGTTAATGCTCCACCCAATGTATAGTTCATTATTTGGTTCTATTAAAAAAAAAGCAGATGGTTACCATGTTGTGAACGTTATGGTTGGAAAAAGTATTACAAATTACAGATTGGGCGATACGTTTCAAAAGATATCAGATAGGCTACTAACGGTTCCATCAAACACGGCTGAGTTAATGGATCTATTGGCGTATTGTAAAGAAACCGAAACGGTCACGTTGCGGCAATTGGAAAAGGAGCTTGGTGTAGTTTTGAAATACATCATATTTCTGTCGGACCACACACTGTTCACGCCAGTAGAAATAAAGCATAACAACACAGCGTTTTTGTGGTAGGTTGACGAAATATAAATGGCGATAGGGAACAGCACGGTGTTTCAGGAACATACGAATGCCGAAAGTTATAGAAGAGCACAGGCAAATAGTTGACGTTAAGGTAGTCGAATTTCAGCAGTTGCTCAATGTTAGAATTCAAAAATTCAAAGACGATTTGGATATTTACGCAAAAATGGTTGATCAACTGCAGTACAATGGCAATATAGATGATCTGCCCAAATATCACAAGAAAGCGACACAATTGGATAACAGGTGAGATGAGCAAATGGACTGGATAATTGAATCTTAGAAAGAACCTTGCTAGAATAAAATATTATTACCTATAATTTTGTAGGCTGATACTTGCTATGGAAAGAATAGACGGTTTCAATACGGAAGAAGGAGCGTATGGTTTCGAGTTATCCCAGTATCCTCTGCGAAAGCAAATTCACGACAAGTTATCACCGTTCAAAAAGCTGTACGACCTTTCCATGGACTTCATTAACCAACATCACAATTGGATGACATCAAAAATTGGTTCTTTTGATCCCGAAATGATCGAAACTGAAGTCGGGACGTGTTATAGGAACATTTATAAACTCGAAAAGGTATTCAGCGACAGACCGGCGGCACAGGAACTGGCAACGAAAGTAGGTTTCTTGATCGCTTTGCAATATGCGTTTTACCTATATCATCTTTAGGTTCGAATCAAAGTGGAAGAGTTTAAGGAGCAGTTGCCTATAGTTCAAACTCTTGGCAATCCTGGAATGAAGGAGAGGCATTGGGAGCGGGTTTCCGAAGTTGTCGGTTTTCCTATTGTTGTCGACGAGGACTTGAGCTTGCAGAAGATCATCGGTTACGGTTTGGAAGAATTCATACCCAAATTTGAGGCGATATCGGAAGCGGCGACAAAGGAGAATAATCTCGAGAAACACTTGAACAAAATGATATCGGAATGGGTTGAGATTGAATTTAGCATTTTGATCTACAGGTAAGTATCGGTTGGCGTTTTCCTACGTACCTAATTAGGTATTGTTGTAGAGATACGGGTACGTATATTTTATCATCGGTTGACGATATCCAAGTATTGCTGGATGACCACATTGTGAAGACGCAAACAATGAAAAATTCGCCCTATATTAAACCTTTTGAAAAGGAAATTATGTAGGTATTTTCAAAAATAGGACTGTTGCTTGTATTGTTCGTTTTAGCGCTTGGGAAGCCAAACTGGTGTTGCTTCAAGCAATTCTGGATGAATGGTTGAAAGTGCAGGCGACTTGGATGTATCTGGAACCGATCTTTTCGTCACCAGACATTCAGCAACAAATGCCGGAAGAAGGGCGTAGATTTAGTGCCGTAGATAAGGTAGGGATTTCCCAAGGTTGTTTTATGTAAAAGGTTGTCTGGTAACTCTAAACCAATAGAATGCTTGCATTTTGAAGGCGGGAAAACGTCATCCAGAATTCACATTTAAAATTGCTCATAGGTTACAATGCTAATAAAAGGGGTAAAAAATTTAGTTTTTGCAGTATATTTTTGGATTTACGAGTATATGGGTATATTTATATTAGGGTGGATCTTATATTGGAAATCTTGGATGTTTATCGACCTCAACCTTTGAAAGCAAGCAAAGTATTGAAAAAATGAGTGTTGTGCGTAAGCTATTTTACATTGCACGAGGACTTGTGAAAATGTAATCAAATTAATTTTAGAGGTGGAAATGGATAAACAGGCCAGACAATCTACAAAATAGGAACCACCCCTATGTATTAGTACCTAGGCTTTGGGAATTAAAACTCTAAACATTCTTTACCGGATGACACCAAATAAAATGCTTTTGCGTTTTATGGAATATGTATATTTATAGTATGTATAAAATGGTAACCGATGTGCACACGGCGAGCTCTGTCGTTGGGGTGAGCCCAGGGGCAGGTCTTCTGACTGATGGAGTGTGGCGCGAGGTCGAGCTGGCAAGGCGACCTGGTTCTGCAGGTGGAAAGCTTTTTGTTTCTTGAAATGCAGTCGATGTAGAAATTGCGTTGCACTTTGCAGAGTTCGTGGCTCTGCTTTTAAACGTTTGCGGCCAGGGACGCTAAGCTTTCGTCCGTTGGCCGTTTTGACCAATGGGAGCCCAGCACATTTAAGTTTGCTGCCGCATGTGAAACATTTTCTTACCCATTCTTTAAGAACGGTAGGGTCTTTGGGAAACGTAAAAACTGAGATTTTATTTACACCAGGATGAGGAATTTTAGTGTTACCGCCACTTATCTAAAAAAATACTTAATTATAACATACAAAAGTGCATATAATTGATGAACTAACCTTTCAATCACGGCTATGAAAATCCACAAAATTCACAAACTAAATGTCTTTATATTGCAGCAAACAGGTATCTACAGCTAATATATGTTCCTATGCACTTCAAAATTCAACAAATTTTAAACAAATAAACTATAACTCAAGAAAATTAAGCACCCGCGCGACTACAAACAATGTTGAACGTCAATGTCTGAATTCTCGATGACGTATACATTCCGTCCCTCCCGCTTCCGCCCACATAGTTACCAGGTAACCTTTGAAATAAAATAACCTTGGGGATTTCCATTCTCACAGTGCACTATTGCTAAAAAATATCTAACTTTGCTATTGCCAAATAGTATTTGGGTAAGTTGAGCGAGTGTAGGCGATGCGATCCTGGGTGGAGGTGTTCCTGCTGCAGGTGGTTGTGTGCGTGGAAGTTCCGATGCAGGGCGCAGGTCCTGGATGCGTACCTTTACCTGCTCCCCGTTGTCTTTCCCAATCCAACATGCGTTTATCCTGGTGTATGTGATGACGGGATAGGGACCGTGTAAATTTCGACCAAAATCTCGCGTTATCCCTGTATCAATAGCTACTATGTATATCACAGCCTGACTCGCCCGTAAGCTTGATCTGTAAACTCGTCCGCCATTTTGGAGCCCACTAACAATTCACGCTTGCAAAACGTTGCATCTCTTGCATGTATGTATGCTCGTATGTATGTCTATCATTTAAAGAAAAGTTATCGATTTTTTAACGTTTATTAATGCATACAGGTATTTAAGGTAAGATTTTACAAATTAAACAGTTTACCGTGCATAAATTTAAACTATCAGAGGGCTCCAAAATGGCAGACGAGTCTGCGACCTTAATCAAGTACTGTACCTGGATCGTTTTATCACCATATAACCGTTTTTAGCGCATTTCCATAGAAATTAAAAAAATGTTCTATTGTGGCCACATTGTCCGTCCGTCCGCTCGTTCGGTTGAGACGCTACTAATTCTTTATCTTTTAATTGGGCGGTAGTGGATCCGTAGGTGGCGTAGTACGATCGGTAGCAGTGTTGATTCCGGTGAACCACACATTCTTCCTGCGGTTCGCCCTGTTTCACTGGGTGGTGAGTCTGACTGCGCGTACCAGTCACCCGGCCGAGGAAGCTCGTACTTTAGGAGGGAGTGACTTGAGGTTGTTTCGGCGACAGCGTTCTTTCTCGTCCGGAGAGTGTAGAGAAATATGGTTAGGATGTCGTCCCATGTCTTGGGGTCTTTTTGTTCGCAGCGGATTCGGCGGCCCTTTTTTAGCGCATTTCCACAAAAATGAAAAAAAATGCGCTATTGTGGCCACTTTGCCCGTCCGTCCGTCCGCTCGTTCGTTGAGACGCTACTAGTTCTTTATCTTAAGAGCTATTTGGTTCCTTATGGTATCTAGGCTTGCACCAAGGAAGGAATTTTTTCTGCGTTTATTGCTAAAAAAGATATTGTAAAAAACCAAAAAACCGTTTTTTATATGTTCCATAATTTTACACTTTTGCCGTTTTTAACAATCCTAGAGATCGTTTATAATTTTGTATTGCTGTCTGTCGTCTGTCTGTTGATTTGTCCATCTGTTCCTTTGTCTGTCTGTCCCTCTATCTGTCCGTGTGAACGATAACTTTGGTTAGAAATGTCCGATCGCTTTGACATCTCCCGTTAGTTATGAACTGAATTGCATGAAATTCAATATGGGCATAGCTTTAGCCATATAATACGCAATGCCAAAAGTTGAATCGAATCGATGCAAAAGTCACAGTGTCCTTTTGGCATCTCGACCATTAATAAACCGAATTGCAAACTTTTTTATTTATAAAAGTATTTGAATGAAATTTGATACATAGGCACTTGGAATAAAGGAAAATCAAACGCCAGTTTCAAAACTTGGTTTTGCGCATGCGCAGTGTCAACTTTTTTATTTATGGAAGCATTTAAATGAAATTTGATACATAGGCGCTTGGAACAAAGGAAAATCTAACGTTAATTTCAAAATTCAGATTTGCGCATGCACAGTTCTAACTTTCATATTTAGAAAAGCATTGAAATGAAATTCTTCTTATAAACTGAAATTGAAGTAGCACGTCAAAAATGGATTGGACATGTGCAACGCTATCTTTCATATTTGTGGCGGATTTTTACGATTTTAACAGAAGTTGCATCTTACAAATGGGTAATAAATGCAAGTGGAAATGCGCTTTTTATAAATCGTTTACGATTACTTTTTAATTATTTTCTGGTGTCGCCTGTGAGTTAGCTTGTGGCGGCGTCTAATGGACGCACCCGCAATATCGTGTAACGGATGGTTTCAAATTATAGGGTGGTTCGGTAATTCTGACCGGAGGAGGGGTGTCAATGTGTATTGGTTCCTTGCAAAGGGTTGAAAGTTTTCTCAGGTTCGTCGTGTGATTTTTTCTTTCTTCTTGTAATTTTTTCGTCTTATTATGTTGCTAAAGTACTTTTGGAACTTACCTTTTTGGACTTTTACTTCTAGCTAGGTCAGGTAAAAAATGGTATATAATTAAGAATGTACTTAGTTCATTCCGCTTTCACTGATATATCTTATTGTCAAGAATTTGTAATCATTATTTGGAAAAATATAGGTTCAAAATTTACAGTTGAATCTAGAGAATTTATGTAAATTTCGGTGTTGGCTCTCTTTGAAACAAATATGTATCTTTTTACTACTTCTTGCAGAACAGCAATAATTCCAAAGATCGTTTAGATGAATCACTTTTAGTTCACATGCAATTATGCAAAACATAGATAATGAAAAAGAAATAGGTGCCTTTATGGAACGAGTGACGTTATCTTTGGCGCCAATACAAATCGAATTGCAGTCACCTAATGGTGATGTGGAACTTAATTTTAGTTCGATGCGCATTCCTCTGACCTCCCCAAATTCTCACCATATCGTCTTTGGCAAATACTCCAAAATTAAATGCTGACCGGGCTGGTGAGTGGTTGCGAGTGTGCGTTGAGACGTACTTGCCAGTAGCCTGATTTTACTTCGGTCTATCACAAGGAAGAGTTTTGCTGGTTCAATGTCGCGGAACGTCTCGTTGATGTGTGGCAGGTTAGAGCTCTCGTCCAATGTGATTTTGTCCAGTCGCCGGTAGTCCACGCCGAACCTGGGTTGCCCGTCTCTGTTTTTCACCATCACGATGGGCGAACAGTATTCTGACGTGTTCTCGATTATCCTGGCTGTCAACATTACTTCGACTTCGTCGTTTCTTCTCCGGGGAATATTGCACGGGGCGCTCGGAAGGGTGTATCTTGGCGTGGCCGCATATGGTGAGTGGCGAAGGCGATGGTGAACGGCGGGGTGCGTTCGTGTATTGGAATGTTTGTAGCAGCTGGGGTATGACTGGTTGTCGGAACACGTGTTGGACGTCTTTCGTAGTGATAGTGGGCTGGTGTCTGGAAGTCTTAGTTTTCCTGCATCAATATTTAGTGCGACGTTGGGTCGCCCCCCAGTGGATGCAGCCCCGTTCGTAATCCAGTACGACCTACGGTTTCTTTAGCCAAACTTGGTCGAGGAAGATGGGTGATACGAGGTTTGAAGCGACAAGGAATTAGTCTCGCTCTACCTGTTCGTCGAGAGTGTATTGGATGGTGATGACGCCTGAGATGTGGAGGTGTTGCTTCAGCTCTGTGGGTGGCTGTTGTGTTCACTCGAACAAACTTCCATACCTATACCTCACTTGGTTTTACCGCTAGTTGGTTACTAAGAGACCAAGAAGTCCTTACTTCACGCTATTCTTTCCCTACTTTGACTGCTAACTCCAACTATAACAATGCCAACGTACCTTCCTACTGTGAAAAATCTTAGACTTTTGCTACATGATTAACCATAACCCGTAATCTGTATTCTAGTCCTGTTGCTCGTGGCGATCTTAAAACATCAATTCACAGTACACTTTATTGCTTGTTATTGAAACTCTGTCAACTCTGAGAGGTGGCCAGTATATATGTGAATTTAAATGGTTACTGTACGGTCTACCGTCTAAATCATTTAAACTTTTAATTTCAAACTGCACTCTCCTTTGGCAATAATACAGTCTTTTATCCTATATTGCACCATGTGATCTGATAAATGATAAACAAAATAAAATAAATGGTTGTTTGATGCAAGCAAGGGAGAATGGATATACGTTTTTTTGCAAATGTGTCTCATCTATTTGAAAACGGCTTGCGCTTGACTTTCGTTTTTAGTACGGTACGGAATGGTCTTAATAACATTCGAGAGTAAAGACGAATTTTAACATATACCGAAAAAAACAGTAACAGGTATAAATTTTTCATGCTGTAGATATGGCGCGACATCATGAAGATTTGCTTCGGTGAGCCAAGAGTTATGATGGTTGTCGAAATAGACAAAATGCTGGAACGTCTTTCGAAGTGCAACAATCTTTTAGACCTGATCCTCCGCGGGCTAAACGAGTATCTAGAAAAGAAAAGGTTGTATTTCCCTCGGTTCTTCTTCTTGTCTAACGACGAGCTGTTGGAGATATTATCTGAAACTAAGGATCCTACAAGGTACCTACTTCTAACCGTTCGTGATTATGTGGGCATCCAACTGAACATGTTAACAGAGTTCAACCGCACCTGAAGAAGTGCTTCGAGGGCATTGCAAAATTAGAATTCACCGAAGAATTGGAGGTGACCAAAATGAAATCGAGCGAAGGTGAGGAGGTTCCCTTGGTCGACGTAATTCGAACAGCGGACGCGCACGGGCAGGTCGAGAAATGGTTGCTCGAACTAGAAACAGATATGAAGAAATCAGTGCACAAGATGGTCGAAGGCGCCATTACTGACTATCCCAAGCGTCCTAGAGATAGCTGGGTCCTACTTTGGCCCGGACAAACGGTATGTATGATGTTCGACGAGCTAAACTCGAATCCGGTAAATTACAGGTGCAAAGTGTAGCAATGACGTATTGGACTACAGACGTCCATCAGGCAATCACAGTTAGCCTGGATGCGATGGAAGAATGTTTAGAACAAAGCAATTATGAAATATCGAAAGTTGTAAATTTAGTTCGAGGGAAACTGAATCCACAAAATCGAATTACTCTTGGTAATAGTTTTATAAATCTGCTCAAGTTCTGATAGTGGTGTTGTGTTTCAGGAGCGTTGGTAGTTCTCGATGTGCACGCTAGAGACGTACTCTCGGAGCTAATTGAGTTGAAAGTCAAATTTATTACCGATTTTCAGTGGTTGTCACAAATTCGTTATTACTGGGAGGTAAGTAACTGTGCGATAGAATTCCTGTCAATATTGTAACGGTTGGTTGCAAACGCTTTGGCCCGCATAATGCTCTCCGAAAACCTCTCTCGCTTAATTCCAATTTTACAACCACACCTTCAAAATGGTGGATAAGCGACCATATTTATTAGTTTAACCCATTACATTTCATCCCCATTGACCAATCCCGTTTAGAAAAGTGATTTCTTGAAGACTCGGTCGTTAAAAACCCTGAATAATCAGTTCTCATGCTGCGTCATGAAACTTATCCAACTCATCAGATATTTACACTTATAACCCATTAATTCTGCCTAATCTCCCGCCAGACGGGCGCGACCAACTTTCTCACGCAATTAATCGGCCAATGCCGTATCCGGAAACCATTGACTTAAAACCAATAAAGCGACCGAACTTATTGCGAAACCATTGAACCAAAAAAACAATAGAGCAACAACATTTTGGAGAAACCTCTCTTGACGAAAGTTCAAACTAAGATGGCTGTCACGTAAGAAACCTTCGTGCTCTCCGAGACGGCGCAGTCAGCTTTCCCCGTTTAAAGTGTGTGTAGCGTCGTAAAAGTTATGTATACAGGGTGGAACCTCTCATAATTAATACCTAAATTGCCTCGCCACCCGCTCAATCGGTTAGCCGAAAATAAACAGGTACTTCTAGGATACTGGATTTTATTTTTCTTACCTACGCTAAAGATTCAATGATTTTAAAAACTTAAAAACACTAACATAAATAGTAAGAGGGACCCACTTTCAACACCGGTTGGCCTAAATGAAGTACTTAAAATTTTAGGAAAACCAAATGGCGACACGAATGATCAACTCTACTTTGATGTATGGCTACGAGTATTTAGGTAATGTCGGTAGATTGGTGGTGACTCCTTTGACAGATCGCTGCTTTCGAACCCTCTTTGGCGCGTTACATTTGCATTTAGGTAAATGATCCGCTTACGCCCCAACCAGCTAATTGTTGCCGTAGGTGGCGCACCCGAAGGTCCCGCAGGTACCGGAAAAACCGAAACGACAAAAGATCTGGCGAAAGCGGTCGCGAAGCAGTGCGTGGTGTTTAATTGTTCGGACGGTTTGGATTACCTCGCCTTGGGGAAATTTTTCAAGGTTTGTAGTTCTTAACCCACCCGCGTCAGAATGCAATGAGATGGATTAGGGTTTGGCATCGTGTGGAGCGTGGTCGTGCTTTGACGAATTCAACAGGATTGATTTGGAAGTACTCTCAGTAGTCGCCCAGCAGATACTAACCATTCAACGCGGAATCAATTCAGGTTCTGACAAGATGGTATTTGAGGGCACGGAATTGAATCTCGACCCCACGTGTGCGGTCTTTATCACCATGAATCCGGGATACGCCGGGCGGTCAGAATTACCCGATAACTTGAAGGTAACCTTAGTACACCATGAGTTTCACTAACGCCAGTTGTAGGCACTATTTAGATCCGTTGCGATGATGGTACCGGATTACGCTTTAATCTCTGAAATTGAGCTGTACTCTTACGGTTTTCTAAACGCGAAGCCGCTGGCAGTTAAAATTGTCGCCACCTACCGTTTGTGCTCAGAACAGTTATCCTCACAGTGCCATTATGACTACGGTATCTTACCATGTCACTGCCTATTATAAGTGCTTCTTCTAGGAATGCGAGCGGTGAAATCTGTATTGAGAGCCGCGGGTGCTTTAAAATTGCGCTATCCGGACGAAGAGGAAGACATACTAGTTCTACGTTCAATTAAAGACGTAAACTTGGCAAAGTTCCTAAATCAAGACGTTCCTCTATTTCAGGGAATTACATCGGATTTGTTTCCGGGAGTCGAACTACCTCCTCCTGATTACGACGTTTTTGATGTGGCCGTCAGAGATACGTGCGAGCAGTATAATTTACAGTGCACCCCATTCTTCTTGGAAAAGACGCAGCAATTGTACGAAATGATTGTCGTACGTCACGGACTTATGCTTGTCGGTTTACCGTTCGGCGGAAAGACTCGGTGCTATCGCGTATTGGCGGACGCGCTAGGCTTGATTGAGGAGAGGGTAATGTAACTACTGAAAATTGTCCACGCTGTAACAAATTGCAGGGTGGAATGGATGAGCATAGAGCGATATATACTGTCATGAATCCTAAATCAATCACGATGGGCCAATTGTACGGACAATTTGATCCGGTGTCTCACGAATGGTCAGATGGTGTTCTGGCTGTCAACTACCGAGTGTACGCCATGTCAACTACACTGGAAAGGTACTCGCGAACATTTGAGCCGCTAATTAGTACACATTTTTAGGAAGTGGTTGCTTTTTGATGGACCAGTCGATGCCATCTGGATTGAAAACATGAACACAGTGTTGGATGACAACAAAAAATTGTGTTTGATGTCTGGGGAAATAATTCAGTTGGCAAATACCACAAATCTCATATTTGAGCCTATGGATTTGGAAGTCGCTTCTCCTGCTACGGTATGCAACCTGTCACCTCCTCCACTATACTAGAAATGCTGTTTAGGTATCACGTTGTGGTATGATATATCTGGAGCCCTCAACATTGGGTTGGGAACCACTTCTAACGTCATGGATAAACACTCTTCCCCCACTGCTGTCTGAACACCACACGGCAATGGTTAATAACATGTTTCTGAGATTCGGCCGAGCACTCTTGTGGTTTGTTCGCAAAGGAGGCGTGAAGGTAAGCCAACATGGCACACTGCAAATTGTCATCGATGCGATACCAGGAACTGGCGACGACTTCCGACTCTAATCTGATGGTTTCCGCCATGAATTTGTTCGACTGCTTTATGGACGACTTCCTCGACGAAGCCTTTATGGGGCAAACATCAGACCTAGACGTTCGAGCTCAGTTGGAAGGCGCCGTATTTTTCTCTTGCATTTGGTCTCTTGGCGCTACCTTGGATTCGTCGAGCAAGCCCAAATTTAATATTTTATTCAGAGCTCTTTTAGAGAAGGAATTTCCCGCTTCTGTTGCGAAACAGCTGGACATACCGTTTACCATAGCCAAACCGGAGAAACCGTATATCTTCAGTATTCCGTCTGGCGGAACCGTATTCGATTACAGATATATTAAGGAGGTAAGGCAAACGCGTAGAAATTGGCTGGCACTTGCGCGCTTTTCAGGGTAAGGGAAAGTGGAGATTGTGGTCCGACGATCTAATGACCGCTCCTCCGATTCCCCGCGATATCCCGGTTAACCAAATCATCGTGACCACTATTGAAACTATCCGAAATATGGCCCTGATGACGTTATTGGTACAGCATCGGAAGCCGATGATGATTGTCGGTCCAACCGGTACAGGAAAGTCGGTGTATGTGATTGTAAGGCTCTCAAAAATGGAACAAACAGACAGCGTTAGTAAAAGGAAAGTGACTTCCAGGTGTATCATATTTTGCAGATTGCGATTTCAGTATATAAATTGGTACCTGATGGTGATGGTGGTATTTCCTTTTGTGTGTATTTTGAAACTGAAGAAGTCAAATGAAATTCGGGGCTTAGGTTTTAGAAGTTTGTGGGCAATAGACAAAGTTCACGAATCATTTTTTTAATACGTCATTGAGTTCGAGAAACGCAGTGACCTTGTAAAGCGAGTTCCTTGGCTCCAACATGTCGGTCTTTCAGCGTGGATAGTTTTATCTGAATTGATTTTGCGTGCTCCAAATTGCGAAATCAAGATGAGATCATTGCTTGCTTGTGGAAAGGGAAGCTTGCAGAAAAACCAAACGCGTGAGATAACGATGAACGGCCTAACTCGTGTGTAATTCGCGGGACACAACCAATCAGATTTGTTCTTGAAAAATGCAGGTTTACTTAATTACAAGGCGCCATTTTGAAGGGGCGTTAATTAATTGCAAAAAGATAGGTAGGGATTAATCCGGAGAAGTATTTTGGGAGATTCGGTCTTTTGATTATGCAAGAATTAACCACGGGAACCGCCGTAAAAAATCCTTTTTGGAGTCGCTAGGGCGAGAAGTTCTGTGTTTTTGGGCCATCATAAAAAAGTTTAGGTTAAAGCACAGATCTGTGGTTAAAGCCAGGAGAGAGTTTTAGGCGAGTTTTTCGTAAGCCATTTAAGTAAACGTGTTGCTAGCCAAAAGGATTATTGTGCAAGTAAAAGGAAAAACTAACCTTAACGCCAAGGCGGAATAATGAAACGTGTCTGTGCCAAGGTTTTTCGAGAATTAAAAGGGGTTAACCTTTGTCATAAGAGCTTGTGGCATAAAATCGTAAATGAACGTATTTGCAAAATTATGGGTAAGAAGTAGTGTTCAATATTACTTAACGAGTCTTTCCTTTCGTGGAACTTCAAAGCGTTCAGAACCATTGAAAATAGGAACAGTTGTAGTCAAACAAAGAAGGCTATGGACAAACTGCAGTAGAAGCAAATAATTTCGTTTGCCAGTAATAATAAACACAGAAGTTCAAAGTTCGCAAAATTATCTCCAGAGAGCATCTATTCTTAGAAAATCCATTGAATTGAAGATAGCGGTACTAAGATCCAATTTTCAGTTCCCATTGGTCAATTTCCGAAATATTGTCTCTGCACGGAGGGATGTTCCAAGTCCGTTTTTACGGGAATCATCTCAGGGCCAGAATAACATACCACGCAACAAGCGATCGATAGTTCCCGATTAATTAAAAAATCAAAAAAGTGTCTATAATCCAAAATCTCCGGTCGTACCTATCTGCGATTACAATAAATGTTGCACAAACACAAAACACCAGGTAATATTGCTTCGAAACTTTACCTTTTGACTTCAATTGTAGCACTCGAGTCTCGAGTGATACCACACTGGGTTTGTTCGAAATTTAGCTTTTTGTGATGGAAAAACTCCCTTTAACTGATAACTTGAAGACCCTCTGTGAACAAACGGTCGATAATCACAGCACGCCGACTAAACTTTTCCGTAAAAGTCAAGACACACCTCGGCTTTTTATTACG